TCAACGCAGACGTATGGACAGTGGTGCGCCAGGCAAGCATTTGGGCAGTCGAGGATCATGCCGTTTTCGACGTAACCAAGAAGACGGTGGATAGGAAAGCCATTGACAATGACGATGTTCCTGATATATATCGCTCAATGCTCAACTTGCTGTCTTTGAGGGTGCAAGGTACCAACAACCAGGCATTGGCGGCAAATCCTCCAGCGACACCGCCTTTTCGAATTATGCCTAAAAGTAAACTTCGAGTACATACATGGCTTAATAAATCCCCGAGTAAGTTCTTACTTCTATGAGATCAAATTCGGCTTATACTCACCTCCAATGTGGTCTCATTAGACATCCTCCTGTTTCAATGCGAGGCCGAGGCGCCATGGCACCGACCAGATATCTTCCAGCTTGACAATGCTGAACTGACCAAAAAGGGTCCATCCGACGAAGATACCCGTACGCAGTATGTGCGCGAGATCCTGGGGATCTTCTCTCATACCTCAACCGCAAAGATTGATCAGGGGGTCCGATATGTCCTGGCCGCAGTTGCGTTCTGCAAGATGGAGACCCTGGACATCCAACCTTCACCTGGCATAACCCCCGCTGCATGCCCCAATGTCAAGATTGCCAATGGCCTCAAGGCTGCTCATCATTATCACCAGCTCCAACTTTGCACAAGCAGTACAGTCGTGCGGGAATGTGTAATTGCGATATGGGACCTGGTCAACAAAATCTACGCCATGCTCGAGGCCATTGCTAGCAACACCTGAGCCGCTCAGCTGCGCCCCGCTATAAAGGCGAAATTTTGTAGCGCGGCGGATTTGCGCTACAAGTAGCGCAGCCAGCGCTCCGCTTTTGGAATTGAAGCGCTACATGCGCAAAGCAGCGCGGCGGCTCTTTGAGTCGCTTTCGCTCCGCTTTGACAATTTCTCAGCCGAGGCAGCGGCGCGGTACGATCATGCTATTCACAATTTTTTTTATTAATTATGCACAAGAAAAAAGAGTATATACAAATGATATAAGAGGACTTCAAAACAAGTAAGACATACTAAATGAAACGCGTAATGAGTGACTTGAAAAGTTATCAGTTGAGGAATTGAAGAAAATAGGAAACTAAAAAGAATTTTAAGGAATGACTCGAAAGGTTAGTTAGACGAGATAAAAAGAGTCAAGAATCATAGAAAAACATAACTGGGGTCAAGATGTATATCAACCCCATTACAAACTATCAAATGAAAAGAAGAAAAGACAAAAACATAAGTAAGACTACCAGACTATAACAAGAGAAGTAGGACAATTTACAAGATAATAAAGAGATGAACGATCAGGAAATAAATGAAATGAAACAATCAATCAATGACTATAACATGTTTTTTCTTCTTAGAGTGTTTTTCAAAGGAAGAAAGGTAACCAAGCGCTTCAGAGAACTGGTCATTTGTTGTAATACCAGCTCTCAACCATTCCCGTGTTCCTACAGCACGCAAGATCGTCTTTGGTTTCAAAGATCCTCGTCCTGGGACTGCAATATTGGCTGCTGAAGAAAATGTTCGTTCCACGCAACATGATGTAGCCAAGATCGAAAGGTAGTCGCGTGCCAACAAAGCAAGCACCTGAAACTTTGAATTGTTTACCTGTTAGATGAGAGACAAAGAGAAATACATTAGTATCAACAGGTTGATGAGTGAAAGATTGACCATGGACTTACTCTCCACCAGCCCAATTGGGTTTGACCAGGAGTGATTGGATCATTCCCTTGCAAGTACATCTCGAGTTCACTTGCTCGGATTGATTTGGGTGTTTTAAGGACAGCAGATGACGTGAAGATGTCATATTGATCAAAGACCTGCTGTTCGGCGGAGGGAATCGGAGAGGGGGAAGAGGCAGGGGTAGCTGGCCAGGTTTCTAAAGCTAGATTGAAATGCTCTTCCATGAGCTCCTTAGCGCGTGAGGCATGGTCTGGATAGTGAAGTTCAAAGAACTTCAGTCGATACTTGGGGTTGAGGACAGTCGCCAGTACTATCACATTGGCGTTGACGGCTTCGGACTGGTATTGACAGAGTTGATCCAACATGGCGTCAATCATGGTGTGGATAGTAGGGAACTTGGTGGTGTTCTTGATCTCCAATAGGTTTTCAGACACTCGCAGATACTCTGCCAAGAGCATGGATCCCGATGCAATATTACCCTCCAAACGTTTAGTTGAGGCACGAAAAACCTAAACAAAACTTAGCCAAAAGAAATGGAAGAAAGGTAAAGAAAAGAGACTTACTTCTAATACCTTACATAAAGAGTCAACCGCATCCCATTCGTCCATAGACATCATAATACCTTCATAGTATTTAGTCTTTCGATCACCTATAAGAATCGAATCAACCACCTGGAAATCACATAGGTCAGTTGTTGATATCTTTGCAAATCAAAGAGATGAAACCACTTACATCGCGCGCAGCTACAAGGTGCGAGTACATAGCCAAATCGATGTTCCAGCGAACACCCCAACCAGCGATAGGTCCAGGACCATGGTAACCCATTTGTTCAGCTCGGCCTTTGAACTCCCCTCGCCTGGCATTGCTCCGGGTGAGCAATGCGTTGAAATGTTTCAACTATGCAAAGAAAGACGTCAAAATCCAGCTTCAGCTCAGGCTTGACAAGGCAAAGGAACATAAAGGAGAAATGAAAAGAACTTACTTTCATTGCACCTTTCACCACGATACAACCGTTCTGAGGAATATCATCGTATGAAAGTCCATCCTCCTCGTCGTCAGAAGCAAAATTGGGAGATGCACAATGACCACGGTGATTGATTGTGTCGTCGTCATCATCGGAGCAATTGTAGTTGACTGCTTCATCGGTGAGATCATCGTTCAAGACAACTGTTGGAACTGGGACAGAGAAATTGGGGGGGGTCGTTGGCTTGATGTGGCCAGCAGCTAACCCAATCACCTTCAGACCTTTCTTGACGATCAACCCAAGTTTGTGTGCATAGCAACGGACGTGGTTTTTTGAGGAGTCCCAATCGGTTGGATCGTCACCTTCCGAAAACATAACCTCCATCTCTCGGGCCATTGTGTTGTTTGATGACCCGGAGTCTGTTGTCTGACCTAACATGTAAACATTGGAAAGAAACAAGGAAGGTTAGTTAAGAGAAGAGAAAGAGAGTGAATGAAAAGGAGACGAAATGACTTATTTTTTTGTGAAGTCCGTGAGCCATGAGGAAACGCGCCACCGGTTGCGCCAGCAAATACCCATACTTATTCCATGCTACCAGCTTCAAGCTAAGATGAATCGACCGGTAATTCCATTCATCATCGATGAAGTTTGCTGAAACCCCGATGAAGGCATACCTGTTGCCTTTTGTGGTCCACACGTCATGGACCAACGAAAACTTGCTAGAGTTTTCCTGAAACACAACAACAAAGTTAGACACACATAGAGATATTGAATTGAGTGGAAATGAGAAGTGATAAACAATATCATCACTTACAGATACTAAAGCTATCGCCGCCAAGCTCAAGCTGAGGTACAAGTCCTTTGCAACACCAGCGGCCCAAGTCGGAGTCCTGAGGTTGGCACGTCGATTGGCGAGCTTGAAAGCAGCACGAAGAGGGAGGTCGTAGAAACGGTTGAACGGGAGCGCATGTTTCATGATCCACATCACCAGCACCGTGTTGCATAGATCAACACTGAAGGTGGATGATGAGAGAAACGAGTCGAGGGTCATTTGTCCATTCACTTCGTTCGAAGAGGCCGCGGCTGCTTGCTCCTGAGCCCAAGTGAGAGGTAGGACACATCCTGCTCTGATGGCACGAGCTCGTTGAGGGCAGGAAGCTCGTCCCTTACCACCATCACGGTGAGCATAGATGTTGTAGAATGTACGGTGTCCACGAGCAAAGACACCGTCACACCAACGGCACTTGTAGCCTCGGGGATCATCTCCGGTCTAGAGACAGACAGATCAATCACATGAAACGATAAATTCAAAGTCAGTACATCAACAAACGGTTCATGTGGGACATGAATAGCTTTAAATAAACATACGAACCTCTTTTTTTATAAGGACCGGAGGATAAAAGTACTCCAACAATGTGGCAAGCCGACCAGAACCACGCTTGACACCATTGGTTTTGATTTCTTCAATATCGGAGTCCTGGTTGACATTGATACAGTCAGGTATCCCGATCTATGTTTATCAAAGTAAAACAAGGATCAATTCAGTCTGATTGATCACTACAAGGCTGAGGAAAAATACATACGGGTACGGCAGCCTTTTTAACCTTCTTCGCTGGGCCCCGAGGTAAGCTGGCGGAAGCACCAGAGCCTCTGGGACGACCCTTGGCCTGGGAACGAGGCTTGGATTTTTCCGCTTGCTGTTTTTTCTTTTTCTTGGATAGCACCTTGAGAAATTCGTCTGCCTTAGTAACCTCAACTACTGAATCAGAATCGGGAGGAAGAGCCAAGTTGGGATCATAAAGGGGATCAGAATCGATATTAGGTAAGTCACTTTTGCTTGATGGTCGGTGAACAGAGATTCGCGAGTCGGGGGACTGAATAACAAAACCAGGTTTAGGATTGGTTGGGCTGCGTGGGCGAAGACTAGGACCAGTAAGCGAAGAAGGTGCAAGACTAGATACCGACTGAGACATTGTGATGATTTTATGTATGAAATAATAACTCAATAGTATTTGATTTAAATTAATAAGAAAAGATGTTAATCGATGTAGTAATAATCGAAAAAGAAGACCAGATGACAAAGGTGTCAGTTTACAATGATACGGTTAAATATCTTGGTTGACGATTCTGCCAAAGGGGAGAGAGAAAAACGAGAAAGAAGAAAAGCTCACCTTATATACACCGGAGATCGGTCGGTGCAAAGAACTACAAGGATAGAGGGTGATTGCGTCATGTGGGTCTTTGAAGATGAGGATTCAAATCTAAATCGAGGGCATGGAGGTTTTGAAGAGGAGTTAAGATCGTCGACCTGAGTATTGGGGTGAAGAAAAGCCGATGTTGACATGTTTGAGGCCTTGGCGAGGATGTTTGCTGGTGTTTGGTGGGCATGCGAGGTATGTGGGACACTGGTTGGGGAGGAAGTTCGTCTATGCAGCCTAGTTCGTGAGGTTGATCTTGATATCAGTCACGTTAGGCTGCATAGAACGCTGCAGACCGCTTTATGCAGGGCCTGCGGAGCGGAAGTTTATGGTGCCTCGCCAAATCTGCGATCCGCTCTGTCAAAAATCTGACAGTGGCAGCGCTAGCGGATCGGGTAAGCTACCTACCCGAGTATTCCTCGAGCGGTGGCGGGGCGGTCCGCTCCGCCACCGCTTTTTGCAGCTGAGCTTTTCAGGTGTTGTCGCTAGTCTTCGGGCAAGATTCCGGCATGTGCAGCATTTATCCCAAGCACCTCAACAGCATCACGTGCAACTTGACGAGGAGTATGAAAATCTCACAAAATCAGTGGGTGCTGGTTCTATACCAGTAGTCTCGTTTGGCCTTCTGGTAGCCTTTCTCACCTCCGGCGTCAAGGGCCTTTTGATATTCCCGCATGATCCCAAAAGATTTGGCCTCTCGAAACTGGCGCATTTCCTAGTCCTGGTCAGCAGGCTTCAAGACAATCGTGCAATTGAGGAACCTTTTTCGAAACACACTCAGACCTTCTTGCTTGGACTCATTCGTGAAGCCCTTTTCCCACTAGGATTTGATCAAGCAAATACCTCACTAGATGATACATCAAGTGAAGATGAATGGCATCCCAAGGAGTGCTCCAAGATTTACCTTGCTCAAGCCATTCAAAAAGACCTGGCCTCCTTTTGTCAGATCAGGTCACAACTTTTGGGTGGTCCCTGCCCAGATAACCCTTATGACTTACCATTCCATCCTGTTTCAACAGGAAATCAATCAATGCTTCCTCAAGTGGGTCTTGAATAGTACAATTTCAATTGTCCCTTGGAAATATTTTGTCTACATGATTGTAGCCCATACTTGTAATGCCAATACCCTTAAAATTACCCCTGATTCTGTTTGATTTCTAAGTCTGTAACTTGCAATGTGATCTGTAACTAAAAAGCCACAAGATGTAGGGTTAGGGTATGCTGATTGTAGCCAACACTTGTAATGCCAATGCCCTTAAAATGACCCCTGATTTTGTTGGATTTCTAAGTCTGTAACTTGCAATGTGATTTGTAACTCAAAAGCCACAAGATGTAGGGTTAGGGTATGCGGAGGTATGCGGACCAAACCCTAACCCTACATACACTGCATTATACCTTACACTCCCCACAAGCATTGTCTATTGCTTTTGCCTTTCCAACACTTGGCTCCAGTGATCAATCCATAACCACCCACCTCAATCATATGTGACTACACACCTATCTCCTCCTGCAAGATGCCAACACCTCTTGGGCCTCATGCCACTGGCCTAGGACGAGATCATATCCTGTGTGCATGTACTCAACTAGCCTGCTCACAACATACTATTGAGTTTATGGGGCAAGTTCATCAAGGTCAAATGTTCAGTAGGAAAAGTTATCCTAAACATCTTGAAGAGGTCAATAGACATTCCCCGCCCAGCCAATCAATGCTAGGGCCAAGCAACAAAGTTAAATCACCAAACCACCGATTGGAAATCGATAACCTCCTGAAAGTCCCTGTAAGATGGTACCAGCTTACTCTCTCTTCACATTGAACTTGTCTGACATGGACATAACCCTTTGTAGGGCTCCACCATCGCGGAGCCGGTTGCTTCCACAAGCCGAGCCCCACATCAGGCAACGTTTCCACAAATCGGCGCAGCTATGCCGGTCAGGACCAAGAAGCGACCTCGGAATGATGAAGATGATGAAGGGTATTTGGTCCCGCCCCACCCAAAAGCACCACGACACGAGCCAGGTCACACGCAAAGTACAAAGCCAACACCACATAGATTTTTGCAAGATCCAATATGCATGCGTGAAATGTTCAAAGTGGCCAAGGAACATCTCTTCCATAAAGTCGGGGTCAAAGCTTGTCAGAAATCCCTTGCCAAAGCTAGACAGACTGTAAAAGAACACAAGCTTGCACAAGATCCAACAACCACGAACCTGATTTGGAACCAGATCCCGCTAGGCCTTCCCGCACTATTTAAAATTCTCAAACTTGAGACACACATACAATCACAAACATGTTGCCCATTCTGCTGTGCTTTGTCTTCCATTCAAGCCCCTCTCCCACTCAACACATCACCGGTCCCACTATGTGAAGTCCCACGATTTACTACCAAGGGGTCAACTACTCTCCGCCGAGAACCATGTGAATCTCCTCTCTACGAGAAAACCTCAGGAACCCTTCAGAAACCAATCAGGCTCTTCTTCTATCAGTCTTTACGCTCGTGGCTTGGAAAGATGCTTCAGTTCCATTACTTTGAAGAATCCATTGACACACACCTTAATCGTCAGCAGCCTGGGAACAATCGAATGGACAATATATGGGATGGTACTTTATGGAGAACTTTCAAGAAGGACAGGTACATCTTCACATCAAGATCAGGTAACCTTGTATTTGGATTATGGTGTGATTGGTTCAATCCTTACGGCAAAAATGCAGCAACCAAGACTTTGGTTGGTGTCATGCTCCTCACTTGTTTCAACCTACCTCCAACAATACGATACAAAAAAGAGAACATCTGCATTTACGGTATCATGCCAGGTCCATCTGAACCATCACTGTCAGAAATGAATCAGTTCCTCAAACCGCTAGTCACTGAACTGACGGAATTCTGGGATGGCATTACCTTTACCTCAACATCAAAACATCCTAAAGGACGCATCCTTCGTGCTGCACTATGGCCTATCCATGGGGACGTTCCTGCTATGAAAAAGGTCTCAGGAGGAACTTCACACTCGTCAACATGTTTTTGCTCGCTCTGTCATATCAACCGTAATCTCTACCACTCCCAATCTCCAGCCCCCAAGGCTGAACTACGTACTTCTGAGGGCGTCAAGATCCAGGCTGTGGAATGGGAACAATCTGAAACTGCAAGTGAGCAAGCTAAACTTGCAAAGACAACAGGAGTACGATATAGTATCATGCATGAGCTGCCATACTGGCAAGCTGTTGAATTCTTTTCTGTTGACATCATGCACAACATTTTCCTTGGTCTATACAAAGATTTTTCAACACAATACATCCAAGTACCAGCAGCTGGCAAGGCCCTTGAAGCTGAACAAGAAAAAATGGAATTCACTAACCGGCATTACAATGTGCAGCTACCTCCACCAGCAACCAGTAGTCCACATGGCCCTGATGATGCCCATGCCACAAGTGAAATGCCTCCGCCTCAACCTCCCTCCCACCATTCGTACAATACTCGATCAGTTGCATTCTCCAATCTTCATCGCGACATGGCATCTTCCAATGGATCTGACCACACAACACGATGTAGAAATAAAAATGGCCATGGATCACAACCCTCTCGTTCACCAACACCACCTGCGCCAGAAATCATCCCTGAGATCACTTCCTACGAGCTTGATTTGCTTCAACGCTGTATCAAGCATGCCAAAGCCCCTTCGTGGCTTACTCGACCTCAGAAGAATTTTGGAATGGCTAGTGCAGGGACTCCCAAAGCTGCTGAATGGCATTCATTATATAAAGTCTTCATTGTACTAGCTTGGATACCTCATTTCAAAGGAGGAGACCCTGAATCTACATCAGCTAAAATTCTAGCTAGCCTTCTTCAGCTTATTCAGATTGGCAACATTTGTACGCAGCGTTCCTTTCAGCAGGGTGATGGAGAAAAGATTACAACATTGGTTGAGGAACATCAAGCTACGCTAGGGGATGGATGGCCGCATAAGAAGAAAAAGCCCAACTTACATTTTGCGGAACATATTGGCCACATCTCCACACTTCTTGGGCCTCCAGCTTACACAGCTAGCTGGTCAGGTGAGCGTATCATTGGAGCCCTTGTGCAGACCTCAAAGAATGGCAACCAAAGTGTGTTTCTTATTTTTTTTCCTTTTTTAAACAAGATAAATGTAGGAATTGACCCCAACCCTTTTTGAGCAGGGCAGATGGGTGAAACTTTGCTCAAACAGCATTCAATGTGTGGATTCTTTCAAGCCATGACCCACAACAGCCATCCTGCCCTTGAGGCTGATCCTATCATCAAAGAATACCTACAACAAAATCGAGGAACCAAGTGGACTACCAAAAAACTCAGTCCTCAAGCTTTTGATGCCCTTCAGAAACTTGGAATCCTTGGGTCAGACCAAACTTCTGCATCCACATTTGATGTCACTCCAAGCCTTGTCATTTCTAACAAGCCACATATTACATATAGCAAAAATCCAGCAAACAGCTACATATCATACTCTTTGGACTCTTTTAAACAGTTTGGTACTATCACAGACATAGTCAAGATTCCTGATGTCACACAGCCACTATTAGTGGTGAGATCACTCAAATGCCTGAATGCTGAAGACAAGCACAAGGACCCTTATGCTTCTTTGCCAGGCTTGCTGAATGCATCTGTTATATATGATATTCATGGGGACCATTATGTTGTTCCTAGTCACAAGGTGATTGGCCAGCTGGTGGTACAACATAACCCGGGACGTACATTTGATATAGCTTGGCCAACCCTTTCAATAGTGCAGCTCAATAATCTGGTGAGATCTCAATTCAGTCATCAGTATCACATGTCCTGATGTGATATGCAAACTTTGCAGGGCTTTGTGCAAGAACTCAATCTGGAAGATGATGCAATGGATATAGAATGACCATTAGCAGGGAAATTTGTAATGTGGTCTCACTGTCAACTTTTTTCTTGTACACCAGTCATTTTTGCATCGTGGTTGGTGCTCTATTAACCTAGTGGAATAGCGTGTATCATGGGTAGCAAATCAGGAAGACAGAAATGAAGAAGACCTAGTTTGACCATCAATACACGGAGTATGTCCAAGGATCAGGTTAGGTATCTTAGAATAGAGGGTTTAGTGGAGTAGTTTAGATATCTTAATTCGACATGTCTTTCATTCCCTAAGATTGAATGTATTATGCTCTCCAATCTATCTCCTCCTCCTAAAAATCTCATTTTTCGATACAGCTCACATACACACATATTATTGATTCAACTAGTCAACTCTTTATTTTCTGATTTTCATCGATTTTTCCCGCCCGCCCTCACCTTTGTTAATTGGTTGTGTTCTATATGACTTCGTAATAGTTTATTTGATTTGTGTTTTATGTTTCCTAGCTATAAGTTTTTTTTCCTTTTCCCGTTAGTTGTTCCTCTTTGTCAGTTTGTTTCTCAGGAAATGTGGTTACGTAGTCTTTGGTTCAATGTCCTCTGGCCATCCCGAGGGGCTGATGTGTTTTCATTTTATCTCTACCACTTCACTGTTCTCTCATTCAGATCACTTGTTTAGTTTTCTTACGGACGTAATTCATTTCTGTTATGTGTTGCTGCTTTGCAGCAGCGTGATCACGTACACCACGGAAGCTGTAAGCTTACGCCTGACTGTTATCCTATTGATGCGCCACATGTGAACCTATTCCCCACAATTTTATTCACTTGTCACCACAAAGAGTTGTATGAGTCTCATGTATGACCTGTATTGAGTTAGAGCTTGTCATCATTCCCAAATGTCATCTGCAATACTTTCGTGAGATGTTGCCACCAAAAAAAAATCTAAAGTTCCCAACATGTCACTGGTGAGAGGGAAGGTGTATTACTTGAGGGCTTGACCTTTGGTTTCCACAACTCTTCTCATGAGAGCTGGGCTGGTAACAAGCACACATCCCTGAATAAGTAGAGCTTCACTGCTGTCAAATGGCATCTGATTTAAATTGGTCACAGGAGGCCATGATCTTTGGATGGAGCCTATGAAAGGATACCACATGAGTATAAAATTCCGTGCATAGGAAACTTTATACTCATGTAATAGGGGTTGGGTAAAAAAGCGACCACCTGGTTTTGCGCATTTGCGAAGGGAGTCAAAAAGAGCCAAAGATGACGGAAATCAACTGTGTGCAGGGTTCACAGGTCTGCCAAGGTCTGCTGCTCTGCCGGGTACCCAACAAGTCCTAATGTCAGGCTTTGGCTATGATTTTCCTTGTCCAGCCCCCACCAATTGCTCAGCCAAATCCACACCAGGTGGTACTCGGGTAGACTCTTGAACCTTTCACAGAAGGGACCAGAGACCTGTAAAAGGTGAACAGAGTGTTTGTGTCTTGTAGCGGCACAAATGGCTTAGCCCTGTAAGACTTTTGAATGGCGACAGCTTTGGAGTTATGAAGAAACCCTTCATACCGGTATGTTTTTTTGCGACCCAAAAAGGCAGACAAAAATGTTTGTCAGTTTTGTGTGGCTTTCGTATTGCTTTTGAGCAATCTCGAAAGCATTGTCAAATCTTTGAACTGCGACTGAATTGAGTTTGCAAAGGGGTTGGTCGCTTTTTTGCCCAACCCCTAATCTACCATAACCAGCAATCCAAAAGAAGCCACTGGGAGATTCCGGACAATCACTCTTTATACTCAGCTGTCCTCGTGAATTAGTCTCATGTGGATATGCCAGTATATGCAGCCCATGCATATACCCCACTCACAGGGAATTGGAAGTCAATCTGATATTGTTTTGATATTGTTTTGAGATTGTTTTGAGATTGTTTTGAGATTGTTTTGAGATTGATTTGAGATTGTTTTGAGGTGAATGGGACTCACTGGCCTGCCAGTGCCTAGTAAAATGTCACTGTGAGGCGTCATTTGAAAAAGGAAAAAGTGCCTACATCATAAATGTAGGTGCTTTTTCGTGCGAAACCTTCATGTAGGCGCTGTTTTGGCAGCGCCTACATGGATTTTGTGTGGGCTGCAAATAGCAAGGGCCTAAATTCAAGCCTTCAAAAACTTATAATGGTAGTAGAAGAAATAATGATGATTAGTCACCAAAGTAACTTATCAGGAAAGGGTATAAGTAAGTTGGCAACTTACTTCTTGGACAACTCTTCTTAGAGTTTGGAAAATCCGAGAGTTACTATCTATTTATCTATCTATTTATCCTGATCAAATAGATGTCTTCCAAAGAGTCTTTTGATAACAAGATCTCAATAGGTAAGCAAAGTTAGCTTGTGCTAAGATGCGAGGCTTTGGTTGTTGATGAGCACTTTCAGACAGTAAATTTTATATGACCTAGTTTGATAAATGTATGCTAATAAAAAAGATAAAGCTAAATAGTATGTTGGGTTTTCTAAAGCAAAAAGATTTTTATCAAAGGGTGTCGATAAAAGCTATGATATTCTAAAAAGTGTAATGGGTTATAGGATAAAGATCTTTCTCTTATTAGATGGATACCTGTTATTTATATACTTTGTTTGATTGTAAATATCTTGGTGTGATGAAATGTTGTCACTAGGCGGGTAATCAATTCTAGGGTTTTTTGCTGGTTGGGTTCAAGGTGTTTTTAGTTACTATCGTAATTGTTCCTAGATTAAATGGTATTTGTCCTGGCTGGTTGTCGTATGATATTTTCAAGCTAGTCAGGGTTCAAATGTGACTTCTGATTAATCAGGGTTTGATTATTATTGAATCTTGATTAGTTAGTTTTTTATTTTAATATTCCTTTAATGTCGTCACTCTTGAAACTCAAGTGTGAGGTGTAATAATAATAATTTTTTATGAGTATGTACTTACAATGTTGTGCTTGGTTTTAAAGTTAAGTTATTTTAACCAATTGGAAGTTATTAGCAGAATAACTTCTCATGGTGAACACAATCCAACAAATCAGTCATCTTTGACAAGGGTAGCCCCACAAACACAATATCCAGTTTGTGTCTTGCTGGAGAGTCTGGCTGAAGCTGAAATACAGTGTCCAGCTGTCATTTGTACACAGCTGTAACATGTTTCCAGCTCCAGGCGCGCAGGGGATGCTCTTAGGCTAGGGATCTGGGATTAGGTTTGGGATTGAGACTTAGAGCATCAGCACCGGACCTCGTAAAAAGTTAAATACAGGTTGTTTTACAAACCTGTGGGAATAAACACAAGGCACCAGACCTTGCAAACAACCTGTATGGTTTAAACAGCATGTAAATTGTGACCTTGACTGTCCATAAATGGCCGACAGTGTATAATCCAAAAATTGCCCAAACAGACCAAACTTAATCTACCAATATTGGACATATGAAGTCTTGAAATGACACGGTGAAGTGACATGATCTCTTGATGGACTTGAACTTGAATTAATAATATCATAACAGGTCTTACTGTCAAGCAACAACCTTGTACAACATATCTCAATCACACGCAAAGCAACCACACAGTCATTCTCATATTGCATATCATCTGGGGATACACTTTCTTTCCTGTCAACTCTGCATCATACAGGAAACAAATTGGGTCCTATTTTACAAGGTCCGGTGCTGATGCTCTTAGGGAACTATGCACTTCAATTCACACATGTTGTGTAATTTAGTTATGTCCAAACACTCTCTGACAGGGCTGTGATCCTACCTGGGACCCTGCCCAACGCTTCCTTGGAAGCAGACAGTATGTGCCCTGAAATATGTACAAAAACCTACCTGAATGAACTCTCAAAAGCTCCGCGGGAATCCATCAGACTCAGAGTGAACTGCCATAATTGACAACTACACTCCACATGTGAGTCTTACATATCACCAATTTACATGTCTTGCCATCCAGAATATTGTTGATCCAAAGTGATTAATAATTAAGAACCTCTTCAAGTCTACCAAGCTATATATCATGATACATATATGGTAAGCCAGGGTAATGACATCATGAAGAGCATTCATTAGGATTTCAGTGTGGCGCCCACCACCCAATTGTGCTAGTGATTATTATTGATGAAACATGTGAAAAGAATAATTTGGTTGGGGTCATTTTTCTTGTAAATCAGTATTCATCATTTGTCAATCAGCTACATACTTATCCTTCACATCTTTCTTTCATTGTTCTTAAGTCTTGGTCATATTTGATTGATTTTGATTTGATTTTAACCGTGTGTGGATTGTACATCAACAAAATTTGATTGCATATCAAATGTAGGTTACAGCTTTCAAAGCACCATGATCACCTTCCTATATTGCTTACCAAGAAAGATTTGTACATTATGGGTCCCACGCTGAAATTGGGAGTGCTCAACCCTTGGATGTTGGGAAATGCAAGTTATTAATCTTTGAAAAAAATAGTTTTGTCAAAAAATTCAAACACCGGCGAATTTCAATCAGTACTTCTATATATCAATGTTCACTATTTAGGTTTCCCTGTTGTACAATTTTTTGAAATTCAGCGCTCGAATTCCAAGTCAAAACACCCATGAGGCAGACCTTTGCTATACATAGCCACTGCGGTGGTGACAGTTACTGCAGAAGACGACTTTTCATTCTTGTCATGTTATGACTTGAGGCCGAGGCGTGTTTCAGCAGGTTGGGTGGCGTGGTGGTTGGTGGTGTGGTGCTTTCTGTCAAAACCCAATGTACCCAGTCACAGCGGAGTTAGTGTTGATTTATGTTAGTGTTGACGCGTGCGCCGACTGCAAGCAACCGCAGCAGATCATTGAGTGCTGATTAGGTAACGGTTGACCAAACGACCATTTCCAAATCATGTGCTGAGGATCATGTCAAACTCGAGAATATAAAAGCACAGGACAAGACTATCTTTCTCAGATGTTCCCTTACTTTTAGGCACATTGAATATCAACTTGTCAAACATTTTAAAAGATTGTGTTGTTCCATATCTTCTGACCACTCTTGCAATTTTTACACATTACAAACTTCCGAATCTGACTCAATCCATACCCCTGTGATTTGTATCCTTGAGTGTGAAAACGACGCTCAAATTTTCTTTGCAAAGCGTGTTCTGAGAACAAGGACATCATAATCTGATTGCTACTCAACAACTTAAGAATAGACCTCACCACGGGAGATGTACATCCGTCAGTTTCTATTCATCTTCATAATTTTTTGTCACTTAAGCATAAACTCTGTGTTTGGGGATAGCAACCAAGAATGTTCAGTCTTTTGGGGGCCGAGTTTAACAGTAAAAGGCAGATATTGTAAGTTCATTCACTGCATAGCTCTCAGGTGCTGTTGTTTGCCTATCCAAATAAATTATCTAGTTTGTCAGAATACAGGCGGGAAGGCATACCACTGCTTACCACCACCGAAAGGTCGAGTACCAGTGGCTTTGGCATCTTGTATCGTGTACAAAAACTCTCCATCATTGGCGGATGGACCTGACCCTAGAAAGTCACCCAGCAAGAAAGTGTGTAATGCATTAAGAAGACACTCTTCCAAAGATGAGACTTATATCAGTACGTTGTACTACTCTTAGTAAATTAGAACAAGGTATCCAATACTAAAAAATGTTGTCATCATGAATATCTAGACTGTGGAATAATCACAATTGTGAATGGCAAGGCTCAGGTTAAAGAGACTTATCGGTGTGCAAATCAACTAGGCTATTTCAAACGTGATTATCTTGCCTTTTTTACATCGCGATTCCCAATACTGACCTTTTAAAATTTCACATGTCGCAGGTGCGACCGGTTGCAACCCCATACAAGATCAAAACATCATTTAGTGAGTCGGGATAATTAAAATATCATCACGCATGATACAATAAAACTGATCTTTCAACACTGATTTTCTTACCAATCCAAAGTGATGTTGATTACAAATTTTCTGATCCAAAATGAAAAGAGGTGATCATAGATCTTCAAATGTTCCGTCTTGTCCATCTGTTTCATTGAAGGGGTCTGATCATCAGCTATCATTTTGAAGCCCAGGTAACTATTTGCCCATATAAAATGCCATATCATGTTTGATCCTGTTTACATCCCTCCTGTTTTACAATACTCCGTGCGCCCAATCATCTTGTGTCTGTTTAAATCAGGACGTATCGTGAATCTTTTTGCTGGCATTAATCATTGGCCCGTCTTCACTCAGGACTTGAAATTTTTCTTGTAACCATGGTGGGTGCGAAGCTGAACCTGAACGACGAGACTCATAAGCATATCGAAATTTAGGATAAGAATGCATAATCACTTCTCTTGGGTTGACAGTTGAGGTCCCGGCAGCGCTATCTTACTACTCTGAAGTGAACTCAAGCTTTACAATAAGTTGAATTCTCCAGAAATCTTTCCTTGACCCACTCCATCCAGCTGCTTATAAGGGCGCGTTCACTTAAGCAATTTCTGGTGAGAAATCACATTCTGCAAAATTTAAAGTGTCTATTTGGTGGTGTATGTTTCATTTTTGCATTAAAAAATTTACAGAATGTGATTTCTGGTCAGAAATTCCTTAAGTGAACACGCCCTAAGAGTCTTAAAAGTCTTAAAGTTGCATCAACAAGCATCCCCGAACTATTGAAGTAATCTGAAGGGGCGCACGTTCTCATCACATATAATTACAGTTCTTCAATACCTCACCTCGCGTGCATTATACCGTGAGCTCTGAAAAGCGACGAAATCCGTCTAGGTTCCTGAAAGCTGATATACCATGACAAATACTAGAGGTGAGCCTCTATCACCTCTGGTCACTAAACTACCTGAATGCTAACCTGATATACCGTGACAAATACTAGAGGTGAGCCTCTATCACCTCTGGTCACTAAACTACCTGAATGCTAACCTAGAAGGTTTCAGGTCAAGTATGAAAGAACAAAGGGAAAAGAGTTGACGCGTATGATTTTAGCAGTTGATTCTTTTCCTCCCGTAGAATGACGGATAATATTTCACCTGATATACCGTGACAAATACTAGAGGTGAGCCTCTATCACCTCTGGTCACTAAACTACCTGAATGCTAACCTATACAATCAGAAGAGTATCAAAAGGAAGTAATAGAAGATAATGAAAGTTATATAAGGAGAGAAATAACTCTGTGATCTTTTAAAGACTATCTGACCTAGAAGGTTTCAGGTCAAGTATGAAAGAACAAAGGGAAAAGAGTTGACACGTATGATTTTAGCAGTTGATGTAGCGTCGACAACAATACAGGTGAAATAGAAATTATTAGTAAAATGATAACAAGAATAGAAATTGACAGAAAGAAAACATAGTGATAATTATTGATTTAATATAGAACAGACTTACTCTTTTCCTCCCGTAGAATGACGGATGAGGAAAAGAGGATATACGTGACATGTGAAAGTGAATTTGATATAGGAAGGTTAAGGTTAGAGTATTAAGGTTCTAATATTAAACTATTATTAGTCTTAATCTGCTTGTGTGTAATGATAATGTATGTTAGCCTTTACTACCTTTCACGACAGCTGAAACCTAAGTAAGAGAGACAAGAGGTGTCTCTCAACAAGCTCAACTAAGTGGTGCGTTGAAAATATGAAATATGTAGACAGAAAAGTGATATTGATTTTATGCTTGTGTGAGGTGTGTCCCACGTGTTTTTCCTTCTCAATGGGTATTCAAACAGTCTGGCATGATAAACCTGGTGCAGTATATAAAGTTTGTTCTGCAGTTAATTCCATTGGAGAAAACTCTAACAAACTCACCGGTCAACAAGCATTCGACCAAATTTACGAAACAGATGTATCTTCATTTTCATGTGACCACCTTCATTCCTATCACCCCTCAAAGCTTGCTTTTGTACTGATTGTGTGTTCCTTCATCATGGGGTGTGCTTGTTTTTTCTGTCTACCGTATGAACTCGACTAGAGTTGGAGATTAATGTAAAAGGCCATGTAAAATGGAGCCACATCATAAAGTTTGTTGAAAGCCAGAATGCCCTTCAGATCATGCCGTGCAGTTCATGTGTAATCCTCTCTGGCCTGGCTACAGAAGTCCTGGGCATACTCTGCCCATCGGCGCCATGTGGCATAGCCTGTACATTCCATTGACTTTCTCACCCACAAGTTAGCCAGGCACAGACTTTTTGCCTCAAGTATATAATTTGCTCTAAAGTTCATCCTTTCCTTTCTCCCCAAGACCAAAGTGAGCCTCCACTTTCCTGCATACCTTTCCTCATCACAACCAGTATGTGCAGTCACTAACACTATTATTTTCTGTCTTTCAGCTCTTCAGGATCTATTTACAGTAGATACCCGTTTGTTTGTCTCACTAGCTCAACTGAGCCACAGTGTTTACAAGTGTTGATGATTTGACAAACATTGTATCTCATAAGCGAGAAGCATCCTGATTTTTCCAGGCTTGATGACCTTAAGGCTTCACTCTTTCCACCACCTTCATTTTTGATTGGTTTTTCCATGCTTGAGTTTCATGCTTTTTTGAAGATGTTACTATGGGCTGTGGATGTGGCCAGAGATACGTGTTCTTCTGAACTTGTAATCAACCCCCTTTCATACCCTTGGCAAACCCTTTTGTATCGTCAATTCCTCTGCTAAATGCAAACATTATTGATGGTCCAAAAAACATCGAGTAAACTGAGTGTTGGAGTTCTTTGTTTGTGTGTCTTTCTTTTCATGCTATCAAAATTCATTTCTGATAAAATACATTTATTACAAATACATTTTTATTATTACATTTCATTTCTTTCATTATTTTATGATGTCATACTCATCTCCAAATTTGTATCATGACATCATTACTTTCATGACATCATTTCATTTCATTTGTGGTTTTTCTTTTGGCTTTATAACCTGAACCTTTTACAGTCATTTGTAGTTTTTCTTTTTCTTCCTCATCTGACTGTATCCATTCAATCTTATTATAAGATTCTGTCGGACTTTGTTTTCTCTTTCATCTTATACTAAGATTGTTTCTCTCTATGGTTTCAGTCCAACACTGAGTCCGTTCAAGATAATCTAATTTTCAGGTTGTGAGATTGGATATCATGAACCCTCAGAGATTGAAATTTTGAACAAAGACTCAATGCCAGAGGTAATGTAATATATAATGTAACAAGCCATGGGGATGGTGTATCAGTTGAACAGGTCAAGACTTGAATGTCCAGAGTCCGTTTGGTTGACTTCAACTTCACAGGTTGACCCAGCCAAAATCTCAGGCGTACACATTTTTCATATGTACAGCCGTTGTGAGATATAGTGTTTTTTTTTACTCCCAGATTTTCCTTGGTTTCTGACAACCCATTTTTTGCAACTTTTGGACTGATCAGTGGGGGTACATGTTTTGCTTTGGTTTCTCTAACATTTCCACTTGTTTCTAAAACCTATCAACTCACCCAAACCACCTTTCAATTGATTTAGTGTTATTCAGCATACTAGGCCTTTCATCAACATTGTCAACTCTCTTTTGACAACATCCATTCAATTCAAAGCTCAGATCATTCAGTGTTCCCACCTTTTTTGGGTTGATAACACGCTGATTTTTCAAATCGCTTTACCAGAAATGCCAGGTGAACCAATTCAAAATTTGATCCATGAAGTCAAGAATCCCAATGATGATGAGTTTCTTTAGTCTGTATTTTTCACTTGCTCTTCCAGTGTTTGATCCGCCCTTTTTATTCATGGACGGGGACAACACCCCAGCACATCATCCTACTCTTGAGCCCCTCTGGCGCAAAGGAATTGATAGCCGTCAATTGATGGAAGAAAACCAATCATTTACAATTGTGGTTACTTTCAAGATCCACACAAACAATATTGTCAAGGTAACACCTGGCATGACCAAAACACATCCTTCCAAATTAACCGCTGGGAAGAAGAAACCACCTCCACCTCATAAGTTTGCCATCATCAATTCTGTGAGGGTAGGGTACTCTTTGAGATTACTCTATGCTCACTAAAGTTGGAAAATGGGTAGTGTAGTAATGAAATTCTATTCTTTATTTCAAATGTGTAGTATTTACAAAATGAAATAAAGAAAAGAAAGAAAGTAAAAGAGACTGATAGTCTGTTTGGATAAATCCAGACAGACTACAGTTAGATGACTCCTTGAAAGGAGGTTTGATTTATAATTAATAATTATTATAAAGTACGAAGGCTGGATCCAAGGCCCTCCTTTAATCTTTAAAGTAACAGATTAAAGAGTGAGGTGAAGGTCACTAATCTGGTTGTTATAAAGTCACCAACTTATGGTTGTTCAAAAGGTACACCAACCTTGAGTTGATATAGGTCACTAACCTGTAGTTGTTCTGAAGGTACACTAACCTGTGAGTTGATATATGTCACTAACCTGTAGTTGTTCTGAAGGTAACTAACCTGATGTTTATTGGAAGGTCACTAACCTGGTAGGGGGTTTCTACTTAGGGGAAGTAGGGATCCAGAGGATGAAGAAAGAATTTACTTTATCTTTTAGTCAGGAAGCTACTTTAAAGATATGAAGTGAATCACTAGTCTTATAATTATAAGACTTTTGATTATGTACTTCAAATGAATTTTAAAGTGTTCTTTAAAAGAGGTGTGTAAAAATATGCTTGGGGGATTTTAGTGAAGGCTGAGAAAGGAGAGGATTATATACTCTCCTCTCTAAACCTAACTGTAGTGGTATTTGTTTGTATCACTACATTGATTTAGGGTTTGTTGTTAATGATTGTTATGATCATTACCAATTATGCTGAATTACATATACACACTAAGTATATTATGTAGTATAAGCATTTTAACTCTTTACACTGAGCTATGAGGTGTAAATGACGTTTCATTACATACTACATGCGGTTTTAGGCGTACATGTATATGTAATCAATCTTTTTATGTCTTTTATTACATGCTAAATACTGTTTATAGGCTGTATGTATATGTAATTAGGTTTGTATATGAT